GAAAAGTTGCTGATCCTGACTGCCTTCAGTAAGAGTTTGACTACGTTATATGCGTATATATAGATATATATAGTGAAGTATTTTCGGAAAGTGCCTGCCCTTTTCCAAACAGTTTCCACGAAGATTTCCCAGATGGTGGTGTGTATCAAATGTTGAATTTTCTATTCATAATCGCCATTTAGTTAGCTCCCTGGGAAGTAATCAATAGATTTGTGACATTGAAAAAGGAAGTCAGCGAATGGGCTGAATAAAACTTTAATACAGCATGTCAGATAGATAGATAGAATGATACGATAGATAGATAGATAGAGACAGATTAGACGCTACTTCGCAAAGTCATCAAACTACATCTAAATGACATACTCTACATGAGTTTACCTGTCGTAGGCGCAGGAGGTGGTCGCTCGCACAGTGGTGTCAGTCTTTTCTGGAATGAGCCAATAGAGGTTCCTCTCTGTAATCAGGCGCACATACTTCCTGTTCTTCTTAGCAAGGTAGCCGCAGTCAGCGTTGAAGTCTCCGAGAAGCATCACGTTCTGCTCATATACACACACAACACTGATGGTAAGACTACAAAATCTTAAGCTGTGCATACACTGTATGTAATTTTTAGAAATTTAGAAAATCTCTCTGCAATTGTAGAGTCAAAGCTCACACTGTAACATGCGCCACGGCATCTTCAGACAGTCTGCTGGCTACTTTGTGCAGACGCAGTGAGATAAAATGCACAGACTTGGGAATTGACTCATGGCACTGCTTCAACTGTGTGAACATCCGAATGTCTATGGCTATTTGGGAGCAGTTGATCAGTCCCGGTACACTGCACGGCAAACAACGGCAAACGGATCTTAAATTCGGTCCGACTCTACAATGAGTCTTCAGCTGGGATCAGAAACAGCCAAATTGTACAATGCAAGCCAAGTTTCAATCGGCTGAACTTTGAACTTTGTGTCATTGTTAAAGTGTCCTATAGCTCTAGTTAGCATTCAGCAAAGTTAGCTTTTACCTCAGTTTTCCACATGTTCCTCACACGTTGCAAAACGTCATACAGTGCATCAAGCTCCTTCGTGGTGTTGGTTGGAGTGGTGTGCTGAGGTATGAGGACAAACTCCTTTATAACTGAAGACAAGAGCAGGCACAGGGAAAGGTGTTTAAACATCACCATGATTTTCATCATCATTAATGGGAATGTGTGAGCACTCACCTGTCTTGGGGGCTTTGAAGCGGACAACAAAAGGCTCTCTAGAGAAAGCATCAACATCTCCAGGCAGATCATCTGGGTACTGATACTCGCCAGTGACTGTCACTGCACCGGTCCTGCAACCATTCAGACTCACATATTATATACAGCCTGTACTTAAGATGTTTCAACATTTTGTTTGTTTTTATAATATATTGGGCTTTTAATTGATAGTGAAAGCTGAAGATAGACAGGAAAGGGGGACAGAGAGAGGGGATGACACACAGCAAAGGACCACAGCTCAGATTTGAACCATGGGCCGCTGCAGCAAGGTACGTGGGGCTCTACCAGGTGAGCTACATGAGCACCTGTTGTTTTTGGTGAGTCGAGCTACAAAGTGGCTCCAGTGCTCACCTGTAAACAAACACATACTGCTCCTTGTATGATTCAGACCTGCCCAGTCTCTCACTGGCCACAGCGTCATACACATGGTCAGTGTTATACCTGAATGTTGAAGAGACACATGCAGAAGAGTGGTTACAACTGTTAATGCGGTCATGACAGCTGTGTTGCACTGTAGTGATGAGACCGTGCAGTTGCGTGGTCTCAATGTGTTTGTGTTTTGAAAGCGAGTGATGGATCACCTGTTAAGGCTGTCAAGCAGCAGTGGTAAAGCTTTCTTCTCACTGTCTCTCACTTCCTGAAGCAAACACACATCACAGCGAGCAATGATCTGGAAAAGAAATCACAGGAATGAAAAAGTGATATACATAAAACTTATTATTGCGCTGCTATACACACATGACATGCCTTATCCCATAATCACTGACCAAGCGCACCCTTCCAATCTGGCGGTCTATTTAAGCTGCAAAATTTCCCAGCTCTCCCTCTGCTCTGTCAATGCCGCTGTTGCCCTGCATCCGTATTGCTGCTCTGTAAGCCCCACCACCACCCCAGCATCCACCTGTAGGCTCCAACTAAGGGTTTAGTTATTTGCGCATCACTTCCCAGTATCTCTATGTAAACATGACGATGAGGTCGGAGCCTAGACGCCAAAATCTAAATATGCTATACTGCTATAGTAAACATTTTAAATGTGAGTTGTCTGACTGAACTCCATCAAACAGAAACTAACTCATTCATACACATTCATACACTGATGTACATCAGGAGCAATTTGAGGTTCAGCATGTTGCTCAAGGATACTTTGACATGCAGCGAGAGGAGCCGGTGATCGAACCAACAACCTTCCGATTAGCGGAACGAACCCGCTCCGAACCTGTGAAAGCCACAGCAACCCTTATAAGTAATAAGTTATGCACACATGTTATATATTGTATTTATATATGTTGAGAAAGAGATGATTTCTGTAACATACAGTCAATGATTATCAGAAGGACTCTGTCTCTGTCTCACCCTGGTAAGAGTATGCATGACATTGCTCTTCTTGGACTTGGAATCCCCAAAGTGATGGAGGTTGAAGGCACAGATCCTAAAACCTAAAGCCCCTTGAATATCACACACACCCACGAGGAAGGAGAGTAGGAGGAGGGAAGAGGACCTCATGGCACAGAGCTGCAAGAGATGGTAACCTTGTGTGTGAAGACAAAAGCACATCACATTTGATTGAACAGTTGTGTGCACACAAGAACTGCAGAAGCTGCAGTAACTGTAAATACACTGTGGATTGCATTGTATTGCACAAAATCTGGACAAAAGCGAACGCTCCATCAGAACACATGAGACAAAACTGCATGTCAGCTGAGGACAAACACAGGCCTGACCACCGGACTCACCAAACTAACTCTCACATACACATTCTGTAGTATCCTGACATACAGTCATACACAGTACAGTGTATAATCTGCACATAATTGGTTGTGATTATAACGTTTAGAAAATGATTTGTTGAGATGAAGGTTGGGATAAGGTAAGAGTATGGTGAGGTTAGGGTTGGGGTAAGAATCACGTCATTTAATTAGTCAGTTATGGCTGAACAGATGCAAAAAAGAATGCTACCATAATATAAACCCTCACTCAAGACATATCCCAGAGTGCTGGAAACCTAATAGTGGTGTAATCAAGTAGTAGTTTTGCAAGTCCCAAGTAAGTCCCATATCAAGACAGACAAGTCCTAAACTTTTAATTTTAAGTTCAAAACAAGTCTTAATGTGCAATTTATCAAAGGTAATGCCATTTTAACGACAGTGATACTATATTTACACTGGGGTTATGTTGTCTGTGTGTCCAAAGTTAAACATTAACTGCAGACTAGATATAGACTCAATATACTCTGGTCTCAGTCCTATGTGCCTATGAGCCTCCTGTAGAGTCGCTGGTTCTGCACTCACAGTAAAGGCTGTTTTGCAAATGTAAGCATTTCCCCATAATTCCCCAGGAAGAGCTGGGTCTGGAAAGTTAATAGCTAATGCTAACTTTCTTGCTTTGTGGTAAAAGTGACTCACCACTTCTAGAAAATGGCAGCTTCCAAGCTGAACTGGACCTCTGTGGAGATTTTGTTTTTTATGCAAAACTGAACATCATTGGATGCCTAGACCAGCGGTTCCCAAACTGGGGGTCACCAAAGTTTTACAGGGAGTTGAGAGGCCTTTTTAATTTTAAGTTTTAAGTATGTATGACTGGTAAAAAATGAAAACAAAATTACAATACAAACAGAGAATTGTATTAACAATTGCATAAAAAATATCAGGAAAACTCATCTCTGATGCACCAATCACAGGAAATAATCTGCTCAAAATTCATCCAAATCAAAAATATCCATAAAATATGTCCCTTAGTCAGTTTGTCAGTTTACTTAATGATAGAGAAGGGGTCCCTTAAGGAANNGTAGAGAAATAAGAAATCAAACAAGTACATGACAAAATGAACAAAGCCAGCATAAACCTAGGCAACAAACAAATTAACAAATTATGCTGATAAAAAATATGGAGTCATTGCTGAATGGGTTGGTGCAGAAAGGTAGCTGTTGAGGAATGCATGTATTCATCACAGATCCCGTACCAA